GCTCCACCCCCATTGGCACCACTCAGGTGACCCTGAGGATACAGACAAACCTCCAGGCGGCCTCAGCGACACTCTCAAAGGATGCAAATGACTGGCTTGTCTGCAAGGACTATAAACCCTTCTGTTCCCCTCCATCCAGTCAGAACTGAAGAAGCTTCTGAGATGAGAAGGGAAACATCTTCAAGGAAAAATAAGTAAATCCAGTTGCTTCTTGAAAAAAAACACCTTTGGGATATCCTTGTTTGGTATGCAGATTCTTCTTTGGAAGGGAAGAGTAGCCCTTTGGTTTCCAGGGGAGAACCCGAGGGAGTGGGTAGAGAAATACAGGTAGTCCTTGACTTACGACCACCACCGAAAGTTACGTTGTTGAGTGAGATGCGTGTCAAGCGAGTTTTGCCCCATTGAACCATCTTCCTTGCCCCTGTTATTAAGCGAATGGCCGCAGTGGTTAAGTCAGCAGCCCGCTTGGTTAAGCGAACTCCTTGACTTTGCTTGCCAGAAGGTCACAAAAGCAGGCGAGTTGCTAAGTGAGACACATGTTGCTCAAGTGAGCTCTGCCCCGTTTGGCCCGACTTTTCTTGCCGTCATGGTTTCGATAGAATCACCACTGTCGTTAAGTTAGGGACAGTGTTGTTGAGTGAATCTGGCTTCCCCCGTCAGAAGGTCGCAAAAGTGGATCACGTGACCAAGGCCACCGTCATAAATACGAGTCGGTTGCCAAGCACCTGAATTTGGATCACGCGACCACAGGGGAGGCTGCAGCCGATCGTACATCTGAAAAGACGGTCGTAAGCAGTGGTGGGATGCAGCCGCTTTGACAACTGGTTCGGTGAGTGCGCGCGCTTTGCACTTGCATGCGTGCGCAGCATTAAAAAAGCCGCCCATTTTAAGCTTAAAAAATTACCTTCTATGTCAGCACTGGTGAGTAAACCATTCAAATCCTGAATCTCTAGCTGCATCATTTATTAGGAGTATGTTGGCGTTAGCTGGGGGCAGCCGACACTAAAATACACCATTCATTTCCCCCTTGACCCTGGTCTTCCCTCCCGCCCCCTGGATGTATATTCTCCAATGGGACACATCCATAGCCAAGAGTCCTCAATCATGCACTCCAGCAATAATCTTGCGCGCCAACAGCTTCGGCTGCCTAGCAATTATCTTCTGAAAATATTTAAGGTATGCTTTGCTTCCCCCACTCCCTTTCTGCTGACAACTCTTAAAAAACCAGAGAAATGTTTTTGAGTTGATATAGCTGATACACGGCAATCCACTGTGCTGTGCGAATCAGCTGAGCTAAAAAACAGGGAGCTATAGGACAGGAAAGGGCAGGGGTGGGCGAGAGAGGCCAACTGCTCACCAGAGCTACCGGTTCGCTCGAACCATTGCAAACCAGTAGAATCCCACCACTCGTCATCAGTCACTTTTTTTCAGGGCCGTTGCGACTTTGACCCGTCACTAAACGAACTGTTGTAAGTCAAGGGCCACCTCTATTAATCGCGCTGAGGAATGGAGTAGAGTTAAAAGTTCATAATACTTTATGTCAGCGGTCGCCAACCAGTGGGCCCGGTGACCGCTGGGGGTCCACGAGAAAATTTTGCTGGTCCGCAGAGAAATGTTACCCCCAAAGCAATTAATCCAGGCTGTGCAGGAACAGAAGTCTGTGCCACCCAGGTGGCTCATGGGAACACAAGGCTTGTGTCGCTTGCATTGCGAACAACAGGAGGTAGTGAGGGGAGGGGGGAAAGGGCAGAGGGGGGAAACTTGCCCCACGCGCCTGGCCTGGCCACCAGGATGCTTCTTTCTGCTTCTTTCTTCTTCTGCTTTTGGCTGCACACAAGGTAAGCAGCAAAAGACTTTCTCTCCCCCAAACTCTGCCAGAAATGAGTCTTTGGGACCCTGCAAGGCCTCCTGCTCCAAGAGTCTGCGCCAGCACAACAAGTCTCACAAAGACTCATTTCTGGTGGTGTTTGGGGAAGAGAAAGAAAGACTTCTGCAGCTTCTGCTGCTTTCCTTGCCTGAAGCCAAAAGTCTCTCTTTCTCTCTCTCTCTCCCCTGAGAACGGAGCTGGAGACGGTATCCTGCGATCCCAAATAAAGAACAATTGATCGGTAGGAAAACAGGGTGGGGAATTTTCCTGCAGACTTTTTTTGGGGGGGTGTTCCCCAGGGTCTCTGATGCACGGGATTTAAAATTATGAGTTTGGTGGTCCCTGAGGTCCAAAAGGTTGGCAATCCCTGCTCTATGTGATGTTTTAACCAGGTGCGTCTTTGTTATATATCCTTGACTCTTTTTTTCCCCCACCCTGGAAGTCTCCCGCATATTATCAGCCGAATGGGAAAATCAGAACAAGTCGACCTCAATTTGTTCTGCCTGGTGGCCATCGATTTTTACCGGCATCAGATCGACGAGGAATTGGATCGCCGAGCCTTTCAGTCGATCTTCGAAGTGGTCTCTTCCCCGGGAAATCCGTACCACCGCTTGCTGACCTGCTTACAGAGCGTTCACAAGATCACCCCGTGTTGAAGAAGAAGAAAAAAAAGAGGGCGGGGAAGTACGGAAAAGCCTGGAAAAGTTGAACCTTCGACGCCACGGAGCTCCACCCCCACCCCCACCCCAATCCTCTGCAATCGTTTTATTCCATTTTTCCCAACCCAAACTACTCCGTAGTAGGTTACGGTGGCTGGGCCATGCACCACAACTCCTGGGTATTTGGGAAATGGGGAAAAAAAGAGAGACATGGATGCAAAACAAATAGCTCATCCTGGCTTCAATTTATATATTGTCCATGCTGAACCTCGTGAATTCTGCAGTATCGGCTCCACGGGCATTTAAAAAGCCTTTAGTTTCATCTAGCTACAAGAGTTCTGTTGCAATTTGTAGTTCTTTCCTAATGTGACAGAGAGGAAAAAAGGGAAAAAGACTTGTAAACACACTGAAAATTCATGCGCGCACACACACACACACACACACACACACACACTCCAATGTATTTTGATGTATTAAGAGTGGGGAAATTAGACAAAATTATGAAGAGATAGTTTTCTTTTATACCTCTAAGATTTCAAAGTCGGATCGATTCCTTGGGTTTTAAAAATAGCCAATGTGTAAATAGTTCTAAAACGGTGTATAATATGTTAAGAGAACAGGAAAGGCGTGGAGGCTGGGGAAGCACTTAACATGGTTAAAAAAGAAATATTTTCCCCGTATGTTGAATATAGCGCATTGACTGTTTTCCTATCATAGGTCCTTTAGGTCTATTTTTTTAATGCACTCTCGGCTCACCTTTTAAACTCTTTTTTTTGTTTGTTTCATCTTCTGTACGCTGCTCGTTGAAAAAGTTTAAAATATAGCAATGAGTTTAAGTTTTGGACCTTTAAAAAAAATAAAAGAGAGGATTTGGATTTACTGGATAAGCAATTGGGGAAGGGGAGGAGGAAAGGAACTGGACACTCTGTGAAACCCTTTGAAGGGTGAACATGTTAGGAAATCCCCTCCATACCATTAGAAGCATTTTGGAAGGAACCAAGCAGTTGCTTCCGATTAAGGAAACGCCCCAAAGCAACCGAGAAAAAAATAATCCTGATTCTTGTGACCTCCGGTGACTCTTTAGAGAGGACTTGAAAAACCAGAGAAATATTATCTTAGGGAGGGGCAGCAGTTCAGGATTTGTAGTTCAAAACTGGACAGACTCGATCACAAAAGCTGGCAAGGACACGGCCATTGTTTCTCTCTCACACACTCCCACAAACGCACAACTTCAATCCCACACTTCTTGCTTTCTCTGCATGACTTCGGTTTCACAGTCCCTTTTTTAAAAAAATGCCGGTGTTTCGGGAGGGCCTGCTTTCCTCTCTTCCCTCGCCTACTGAAATGTGACCGACCCTTCCCCTCTTTCCCAGATCCAAAGGGGATCCTTTTTCGGATCCCTCCATCAGGGAAAGCAGCCAACAAGAGGCTGGGCTGGCCCCGGGCAAAGCAGGGCTCACCTCAAAGGGCCTTTTTTGTTCCCTGTGCCCAGCAAGGGTGCCAACTGTGAAGGCTGCCCGGGGGCAGTCCGAGAGAAAAATGGGGTTTCTTCCAGCCCCACAGAAGCTCTTCCAAACCTTTTCCTCCGCAGCCCAATCGGGCCTCTGGTGCACGGCTCGGAGGCCCATCATCCTGAGCCGGAGATTGCAGGACCCTGTGCTTTCCCCTCGTGGAGCTTTGGGTGCCTCCTTGTGAGACCAAACCAGGTTGGTGCGTTCGGCCTTTTGAATTTATTTTGTTTTGTTTTGTTTTTGCAATGTTCCCCGTTATAGAATTCATCTCCCCCGTTTCCTTCCTCCCTTGCTCACAAGAGTGAAATTTTATCAGAACTGCATTGGTGTATATAATGTACGTAAAAATATATGCAACTGCGTTGGATGTATGCATACAAATTATTTATTAAACAGAGTTTAAACTACTTTCGGCTTGCGGGCCAGCTGTTGTATTGTAATATCTGTGTTATTTAGTTCATTTTAAAGAAATGGCTTCAAATTGGAAATTATTTTTCATGGGTGCAAAATCAAAAGGCAGGAGGGGGAAAGAAAAAAGAAAAAGAAAGAGAGAGCTGTTACTTTTTTGTGCTCAAATTTCCAGTGAGCCTGCTTGTAGGTATCTGGATTTTGTTTGGGGGGAAGGGAATAAATGCTAATTAGATATATATAAAAGCGAACGACCCATTCACACATCATCAGAACCATAAAGCCTACAAACTTGAAATTTGGCACGTAGATTCCTCTTGGCTTCTCAGTGCTCACTAAGAAAGGATTTCGCTAGAAAGGTTGCTAGAATTAGTTCTCTCCTTTTGGATCCGTTTCCATCTGTTGCTTCTTGCTTTCAGGAGCTTTTGAGAATAGCTTGACTCCTTCTTCTTTGGGGCAGCCCCTCAAATTGTGGAAGACTGTGATCCTGTCACCCCTTAGTCCTTCTTTTCTCTAGACTAGCCATGTCCATGTGGGATATAGGGTGTATGTGTGTGCTCGCACAAGCACGAAGCCGAAAGCACCAGCCTGGAGATGGCGAGTAGGACCTCATCGAAACGCTGCCAAGATGCTCTCAATCTTACACGGGAAAAGACCCGAACACTCCAAGACCTGCATACCTGTACCCATGAAAATCTACGAATATATATATATATATATAGACAGACACAATACAGAAGCCTGATGATGGCAGATGAGATTCTGCCGAAATGTTGCTACAACTTTAAAAGCACAACTACAATGATGTGGGAAAATAACCGAACAAAGCCGAATACCATACATGTAAGTACCCGCGAAAACTTAAGAAAACATATATATATATATATATATATATATTTATATATACATTTTCGTAGATTTTCATGGGTACAGATGCAGGTCTTGACGTGTTTGGGTCTCTTCCCGTGTAAGATTGAGCGCATCTTGGCAATGTTTCAACGAGTTTCCTACTCACCATCTTCAGGCTGGTGCTTTCAGCTTCGTGCAGGTCTTGACGTGTTCGGGTCTATAAAATCTCCCACCTTCTCTGGCCCAGCAGACTCTTGCCCTGCAGCAACTGAGCCTCGGATCTGCTTACAGATTAACAGAGTAGGGAGGGACCCTGTAGGTCATCTAGTCCAACCCACCCCACCCGCCCAAACAAGAGCCCCTACACCATTTCTGACAGACGGCAGTCTACTTGAAAGCTTCCAGTGATCTGAAGGTGCCCTCCTTGCTTTGTCAGAGCCGCAGGCTGCAGCGGGGAAGGGGGCTCCCCAGAGAGACCTCCTGACCCTGGTCGTAAAGCTTGCAAGGCAAGGAATTCTTCAAGGCACCCAAAGGCCAGACAAGGAACAATGGATGGAAACTGATCAAGGAGAGATTCAACCTGGAAATGAGATTTTTTTTCTTCTGACAGTAAGAACAACCAACCGATGGAACAGAAGTTGCCTTCGGAAGTTGTGGGAGCTTCATCCCTGGAGGCTTTGAAGAAGACATTGGACAGCCACCTGTCTGAAATGGTCTAGGGGGAGGGGGTTGGACTAGGTGACCTCCAAGGCTCCCTTCCAAACTGTTACCCCATTCTATGGAATCCACAGCCCTTTTGAAGGAGAGGCCTTTTTAGCTGCTTCCCGGCTTGAGATGTTGCTGTGATGGAAGAAGAAGGCGGGAGAGAGAGATGCAGGAGGCCAGCCTGCCTCTGTGTGGTATGTGTGTGTGTGTGTGCGTGCGTGCGTGCGCACATGCGAGTGTGTGTGTGGCCGGGGAGAGCGAGTGTGCGGCTTAGTTAAGCCTAATGTGGTTAAAAGCTTTAATATTGATGGCCTGTCAACTTTGTCCCGATTCTTTGCCTTTCAGTTAAAAGGTTTTTGTTGTTGTAGCTTATGCAGTGGCTCCGTTGCTATGGGAACGTGACATCGAAATGACGTCCCTCTGTTTAAAAGCTTTTAGCTAAATTCCAGCCTGTCAGATGTGCTAGGCCCCATCTTCTGCCGCCAGCCACGGCTGTGCCGGAGAGCCGCCCACGGGCGGCAGCTGCCATGGCTGCCACCCCGACCCCTGCCTGCCTGCTCTCCGTCCAGAGCGAGAAGCACCGCCGGGCGCGCAACTGGACCGAAGCCGAGATGCGAGGCCTGATGCTGGTCTGGGAGGAATTCTTTGAGGAGCTCAAGCAGACCAAGAGGAATGCCAAAGTTTACGAGAAAATGGCCAACAAACTCTTCGAAATGACGGGTGAGATCCGGCACGGAGAAGAGATCAAGATCAAAATCACCAACATGACTTTCCAGTACAGGTGAGGTGGAGGAGGTGGAGGAGGATGCTGGGAGATGCCCGGGGTATCTCAACGCCCGCTCCGTGGATCCTTGTAGCCCGGGGTGCCTCCCTTGCTAGCCACCAATGTCCCAGCAGCCTTACTGGGAAACAAGAGAGGGCAGCCCGAGAACCAGTGGGCACGGGGAGGAGCCAGAGGTGCCAGGGTGGCACCATTGGATTCCACAGGGGTAACAGTCGGCCAAGCCAAATCAACCTTTCCCAGGGAACCTCTGTGCCAGGGGCCGCCAACCTTTTGGACCTCAGGGACCACCACCAAACTCATAATTTCAAATCCTAAAAAGACTTCGGGTAGCCACAAATGTAGCCAGAGATCCATTAACATCACAGTTCTGCTTCTGGGAGTCAACCAGGATTATTCCTGGTTAAATCTGTGGCTCTTTGAGGGATTACACTGACTAAACCAGGGATCGCCAACCGTTTGGACTTCAGGGACCATCGAACTGGTAATTTTAAATCCCGCAGAGCACTAATATGAATTTTGACTGACGGTGGCTTGCTGACATTGGTGGGAAAGTCGGTCCCATATGCCAGAGCTGCAGGAGCCACAGGGCTGGCCCTTTGGTCATCTCAGAGCAGCTGCTCCTCCACCCGGGTGCACCGGCCTGCCATGGACTGGAGGAGCTGCTCCAGGGTGACCAAAGGGCCAGTCTTGTCACTCCTGCAGCTCTGGAATAGGGGACCGACTTTCCCACCAACGTCAGCAAGCCACCCCGGGGCGGATTTCCCTCCCCCGCCATTGGTCTCACTTTCCAGTTCCAGCTCGCGTTGCTCTACTCAAGGTACGGTTTGCGCTCGGCCAAACGGTAGGGACCATGTGGACAGCACAGCCTTGTGTTCCTGCATAACCTGGATTAATTGCTTTGGGGACGGGGGGACATTTCTCTGCGGACCACCAAAATTTTCTCGCAAACCGCCAGTGGTCCATGGCCCACTGGTTGGCGACCACTGCTCTGTGCCCATCTGGGTCCCTCTTGCCCCTGAACCCAGACAGTTGGCCTCTCCAGACAGCAGCACCTGGCATTGTTGCCGTCCAGACCTAGGAAATGCCATCTGTGCCCTTCCAAAGGGAGAAAAGAAAGGGGGGAGGGGGCGGCAGGCATGGTTCCTATTTGACTGCCCCGATCTGTTCTTGGAGGGCATTGAATGCCTGCCTGGCCACCTGGGAGCTTTTGCTATGCCCTTTCCCCAATGCCGGGGTGCCCAAGGTATTCAGAAGTACATCCACTTTGGCCTGCTTGCTTGAGTTAAAAGATTCACTCAGTCCTCCCTCGGTCAATGGAGGGCAACTCCAAAGAGCCCTGAAAGCATTTTAGGATGTGAAGGACTTTTGTTTGTCTTTTTTGATCTGGGGTGCCTGTACCCGAAGGTAGGGCAAGGGCTCCTCCCGCATGGCAGCAGGGGCGGCCATCTTGATTATTTTGCATCCTCTTCGATCGGTTTTAATTTTCACCACAGGGAAATTGTCCCCAACAAGTTTCTGGGTAATTCAGAGAGCAGAAATCCGACGTGCTTCAGGACTGATGGCCTAGAGAGATTGCAGGAACGAATTGGGAAAATCAAAGAGGCTGAGAATGCTCTACTGGTCTGAATTTATCCCAGTCTTTGTGCTCTGAATTTTTTTCCTCAGAGTCAAAAAGAGAGGAGAGAGATGGAAAGGAGGGAGAAATGCTTTTAATTAAGAGTTGCCAACTCGCCATGGGACAAGAGCTACACTAATATTGAAGAAATCATGGACTAGAATCACAAAAGAAAGGATGCCGAAGGAAGGGCAAAATGAAATGTCACCACAACAATTAAAATAACTTTTAAAATTATTTGAAATAATTAAATTGAATTGTTTAATTGTGAGTTGGCTGTGGTGAATTGGTCATGGCAAGTTAGCCATAGTGAGTTGGCTGTGGCAAGTTGGCCATGGATACTTGACCATGGAGAGTTGGCCGTGGCAAGTTGGCCATGGTGAATTAGTCATAGCTGGCCATGGTGAATTGGTTGTCACAGGTTAGCCATGGTGAGTTGGTCATGGCAAGTTGGCCATGGTGAGTTGCCTGTGGCAAGTTGGCCATGGAAACTTGGCCATGGTGAGTTGCCTGTGGCAAGTTGGCCATGGTGAGTTGCCTGTGGCAAGTTGGCCATGGTGATTTGCCTGTGGCAAGTTGGCCATGGTGAGTTGGGTGTGGCAAGTTGGCCATGGAGAGTTGGTCATAGCAAGTTGGTCATGGTGAGTTGACCATGGCAAGTTGGCCATGATGAGTTGGCTATGATGAGTTGGCTGTGGCAAGTTGGCCATGGAGACTTGGCAGTAGAGAGTTGGCCAAGCTGTGATAAGTTGGCCATGGTGAATTGGCTGTGGCAAGTTGGCCATGGTGAGCTGGTCATGGAGACCTGGCCATGGTGAATTGTCATAGACCCTAACCTGGGGTCCTTGCAGATGTCTTTGGCGATCTTCCCTGGGGTGGGAGGATTCTATTCTATTCTTATTCTATTCCTATCCTATCCTTATTCTATTGTCAGCTGCTAGATGCCCTATTTTATGGTGAACTTCTCTTATTTCCATGGGTGTGACACACCTTTGCCTACCTGATTGTGTTTTTTGTCATCCCAGGAAATTAAAATGCATGACCGATAGTGAAACTTTGGCGCCCGATTGGCCTTATTTCAAAACCATTGATAGAATATTATCTAAAGTTTCGGAGCACAACGATGTCAAGATTCACGATAGCCAGCAGCCAGGCCCTTCCACCTCACAGACGGAAGCCTCCCAGTCGCCCTCCACCAAATCAGCACCTCTCTATTTGCCCTATAACCAGTTCCCGTACGAAGGACGAGATGAATTCTTCGAAGACGCGCATTCGGACAGCTCCTCCAGCCTAATTTCGTATAAATTAAGGTAAAACACCCCACATTTTTACTTTCAAAGGTGATGGTGGGGTTGGGAAGTCAGAAGGAAACAGCTGAGGGGTTTAGTATTGCACACCAAAAAGAGAAATCTGCACCACCTTTGTACCAATGGACCGTTCAGATCAACTTTTGCCTTAAGGTGAGACGGGGAAAGGAAAATTTCAAGCAATGCTGTCGATCAGAAGAGAGCTGGAAGGGACCTTCGAGGACTTCTAGTCCAGCCCACTGCTTAAGCGGGAGAACCTATATAATCTCAGACAAGTGACTGCCCGTTCTCTTCAGCGATGAGGCACCCACAACTTCTGGAGGCAACTTCTGTTCCACTGGTTAATTGTCCTCCCTGTTGGGAAGTTTCTCCTTAATTCCAGGTTGCTTCTCTCCTTGGTTAGTTTCCATCTGTTGAATCAGAATAAAGGTGGAAGGGACCTTAGAGGTCTTCTAGTCCAGCCCACTGCTGAAGCAGGAACCCTATATAATCTCAGACCAGTGACTGGCTAGTCTTGTCCTAAAAACCTCCATTGATGAAGCAACTTCTGAAAGCAACTTCTTGTTCCACTGGTTAATTGTCCTCATTGTTAGGAAGTCTCTCCTTAATTCCAGGTTGCTTCTCCCCAGGGATGGGATCCAACCGGTGT